GCCCCAGCCCTGCCGCGCCGTCTACATCTTCGCCAAGAAGAACGGCATCCCCTTCGAGCTGCGCACCGTGGAGCTGCTCAAAGGTGGGCCCGGCGGGGGTCCCGGGAACCGAGAGGTCGGGGAGGAGCGGGGAGGGGGGTGGAGGGGGGACCCCCTCCCCGCGCCACCTCCTTCCTGGGGCCATCGCGGAAAACGGCGACACCAGGGAGCTCGGAGACCCTGGGAGCCCCGGGAACTCTGCTGGCCAGAGGCCAGATGGAGGAGGCCTCGGGGCTCCGTGGCTGAGCAGCGACCTGTGGCCCAGGAGGTCGGGGCCCAGGCCCGGGTGGCAGGCTCCATCCCCAGTGGGGGGCGTGCAGGAGGCATCCGATCCTTGGTTCTCTCTCTTCCTTGATGTTTCCATCTCTCTCTCTCTCCCCCTCCCTTCCTCTCTGAAATCAATAAAAATAAACCAATGAATAAATAGGAGAGACCTGGTGAGGAAAGGGGTGCCCTGGGCGTAGGGATGGGGGGCCTTTAGAAAGAGAGGAGGGAGGCAGCAGGAGGAGAGGGGTTAAGGCCGCCCCGTGTAGAGCTGGGGCCGCGTCCAGCCCCGCCTGGCAGCCTCCCACTCTGAAGTTCTGCAACAGCTGGCACTGCCCCCACCTTCCAGCCCTTTTCCTGCACCCGCCCAGGCTGCGCTGGTGCCCCTTCTATCCCTTCCTCCTCCTCCTCTCCCCCCTCCCCTCCTCCCTCTCCTCCTTCTCCCCCTCCTCCTCCTCCTCCTCCTCCTGCTCCTCCAACTTTGCCTTTATTCACTCTGTCCTCTGCTTCTCCTGTTCCTGATGCGGAAGGGGTGCTCCATGGTGTACCCGGGGAAAGGGAGGGGGGTTTGGGGGGCTTAGTGAACCCTACACCCTGAGCAAGAGGATTTGTTTCTCTGGCAAGGCCCCAAGGACACGACTGGCACACGGCGTCCTGGCATGTGGGTGTAGAACCCACGGATCGCCTGGAGGCACAGCAGGGCAGCTTGCCCTGGCCCATTCGGCTCAGTGGACAGTGTCCGCCAAAGGGTCCCGGGTTTGACTCAGGTCAAGGGCACGTGCCTGGGTAATGGGGAGCCACTGAAGGCTGTTGAGCAAGCAGTGGTTAAACTTTAAAAAAAATATGTTTTTTATTGACCTCAGAGAGAAAATGAGAGGGAGGGAGATAGAAACATCATCGATGGGCTGCCTCCTGCATGCCGTCTAACTGGGCATGTGCTCTGACCGAGAATCGGAGGGTGACCTCCTAGTTCATAGGTCGACGCTCAACCACTGAGCCACCCTGGCCGGGTGACAGTGGAGACTTAAGTGCCTTCAGAATCTTCTCTCCGGGTGCATCTGCAGGAGCAGAAACCTCTCCGATAAACTCCAGCGAGGCCAGGATCCTGAGGGGAGTGGGCACAGGCCCTATAGGGCTCCGCGTTCTCCTCTGACCACCCACCACGATGCACTCTCCGCAGGCCAGCACCTCAGCGATGCCTTTGCCCAGGTGAACCCCCTCAAGAAGGTGCCTGCCCTGCAGGATGGCGACTTCACCTTGACAGAGAGGTAACCGGGGCCCGGGGCTGCTCCCAGACCTCGCTGGGACTATCTTGTCCTAACCCTCTATTTTATCTTATTTTTTAAAATATATTTTTATTGATTTCAGAGAGGAAGGGAGAGGGAGAGGAAGACAGAAACATCCATGAGAGAGACTCATGGATCGGCTGCCTCCCGCACGCCCCCTACTGGGGATGGAGCCCGCAACCCAGGCCTGTGCCCTGACCGGGAATCGAACCCTGACCTCCTGGTTCATAGGCCGATGCTCTATCCACTGAGCCAAAACGGCTGGGGCAGAATTGAGCTTCTTTAAGGCTCAGCTCTGATGCCATCTCCTCCAGGAAGCTCTCTCTGGCCCTCCCATCAGGTGCCGTCTCTGAGCACGTGGCTGGACACCGTTGTGGGATGTTGCCTGCGGGGAGGATGCGCTTGGGCGTGAGTCTCAGAAAGACGCTCAGCTCTGCTGCCACCAGAGGCTGTGTGTCCAGGGCAAGTCCCTTCACTGTTCGAAGCCTGGCTTCCTTGTCTGGAAAATGAGGAAGATGCTTTGGCACATCATCAGGAAGATTAAAGAAAGGACCCGAGTAAAGCACCTAGCACAGTGCCCTTTCTTTTCTTCTGTTTTTAAATATATTTTTATTGATGTCAGAGAGGAAAGGAGAGGGAGAGAGAGAGAAACATCCATGATGAGAGAGAAGCATGGATCAGCTGACTCCTGGACGCTCCACACTGGGGATGGAGCCCGCAACCCGGGCCTGTGCCCTGACCGGGAATCGAACCCTGGGCCCTTCAGTCTGCAGGATGATGCTTTATCCACTGAGCCAAACTAGCTAGGGCCACAGTGCCCTTTCTATACCCATCATGTCCTCCCTCCCCTGCAGTGTGGCCATCCTACTCTACCTGACTCGCAAGTTCAAGGTCCCTGACCACTGGTACCCTCAGGAGCTGCAGGCTCGTGCCCGCGTGGATGAGTACCTGGCCTGGCAGCACACGACCCTGCGGAAAAACTGCCTCCGGACCCTGTGGTATAAGGTGAGGCCCAGACAGGGGCAGTGAGGGCACCACCTCTAAGAGGCTCAGGCACTGTCACCTTCTCCTTTTCCGTTTGGGTAGTTTCTACTGACCCCACTTTGACTTCACTCATTCTTCCTTTTGTTGTGCTCAGGTTGCTGTTAAGCCCATCAAATACATTATATATATGTGTGTGTGTGTGTGTGTGTGTGTGTGTATATGTATATATGTATATATGTATATATGTATATATGTATATATATATATTCAATGTTAGCACAATATAGATCATAGTGCTAAATTTAAAACACAAAATTATAACTCCAGAGAGGAAGGGAGAGGGAGAGAGAGAAAGAAACATCAATGATGAGAGAGAGTCATTGATCGGCTGCCTCCTGCATGCTCCCTACTGGGATCAAGCCTGCAACCTGGGCATGTGCCCTGACTTGAATCAAACCCGGGACCCTTTAGTCTGCAGACCAACTCTCTATCCACTGAGCCAAACTGGCTGCGGCTGGGCTTCACTTTTTTTAAATATACAATGCAAGTCATGTACTGTACTGTTATTCCTATATCATAGTTGAGGAAATCGAGGCTCAGAGGGTTTGGGTGTTTTGCTCTAGGTTCTGCAGTTTGTAAGTGATAGAGTGGAGACCTTAAAAGCCCATCCTCCTGCCCTAGCTGGTTTGGCTCAGTGGATAGAGCATCAGCCTGCGGACTGAAAGGCCCCAGGTTCGGTTCCAGTCAAGGGCACATGCTGGGGTTGCAGGCTCGATCCCCAGTGGGGGGTGTGCGAGAGGCAGCGCTCAGTGATTCTCTCTCATTGTTGATGTTTCTGTCTCTCTCGCCCTCTTTCTTCCTCCCTGAAATCAATAAAAATATTTTTTTTTTAAAAAAGCCCATCCTCCTAATTACTTCTACTGTAAAAGGGATTGCTTTTATATCAGGAGGAAAGAGGTTATAAAATAAGTAGTTCCTAAGCCAGCCTCCTCCCCTCCACAAAGTTCAGGTTCCCTTTGATTAATTCTTTTTTTTTTTAATTTTTTAAATATATATTTTATTGATTTTTTACAGAGAGGAAGGGAGAGGGATAGAGAGTTAGAAACATCGATGAGAGAGAACCATCGATCAGCTGCCTCCTCCTGCACACCCCCTACTGGGGATGTGCCCGCAACCAAGGTACATGCCCTTGACTGGAATCGAACCTGGGACCCTTGAGTCTGCAGGCCGACGCTCTAGTCACTGAGCCAAACTGGTCAGGCCCTTTGATTAATTCTTAAAGGGGTGTGAGTCTGGGAGAAGCCTCCAAGGCTCAGCCAATCAGAGCTCATGGAAGCAGGAAGAGTTCACGAAAGCGGGGTCCTTTGGGAATTTCCCTGCAGGCCTTCCCAGGATATGGAACCAGGGGAGCAGCTCCGAAGCTGGGGGTTGGGGGTGCTTGCCTTCCTACCCCCAAGCCTGGGCTGGCCCTAACCACCACCCCTCTCCCCGCTCTTTGCCTGCCCGCCCACCAGGTAATGTTCCCTGTTTTCCTGGGCGAGCCCGTATCACCCGAGACCCTGGCAGCCGCCCTGGCAGAGTTGGATGCGACCCTGCAGATATTTGAAGACAATTTCCTCCAGAACAAGGCCTTTCTCGCGGGGCCCCACATTTCCCTGGCCGACCTGGTGGCCATCACGGAGTTGATGCACGTGAGTGCTGTGGGCAGGGCCGGCCCGCCAGGCTGGGTGGGTCGCCGGGGTCCTCCGCCTGCCGCCCCACCCTGGGACTGGGGCACGGCTTATTTGGGGTCCCCTCTTCTGGAACTGTGTGGTCCCCAAACCAGGCAGGCGCTGCTTGGCTCCGCCCGTCCGCCCTTACCCTGCCCTGTCCCCTTTTCCCCTACAGCCCGTGGGCGCTGGCTGCCAGATCTTTGAAAGCCGACCCAAGCTGGCTGCGTGGAGCCAGCGCGTGGAGGCAGCAGTGGGGTCACTCCTCTTCCGGGAGGCCCATGAGGTCATCCTGAAGGCCAATGACTTTCCACCTGCAGACCCTTCCGTAAAGCAGAAGCTGATGCCTAGGGTGCTGGCCATGATCCAAAGAGCAGGGAATCCCCCCCCCCCCTCCCCCCGCCAGGCAGATCACAAAGCACCTTCAGGAGACCCCAGAGAGCAGGAGTGACTTGCCTGAGTCCATTGCTCCCCAGGCCAGGTCCCTAGCCCCCCACCCCCACCCCATTGCTACCTGAAAAGCGTTAGAGAAGAACAGCCCACTCGGTCCTTGTCTCCTTCCATCACTAATGTCCTTTGCAGTTTGGTAAATAAACCTGGGCTTAGCCTGTGCCTCCACTTCTAACGCTGTTGTGTGATTTCTCTGACCTTTCTTCAGCCCTGGTCTTGGTGGGTCTCTGTCCAAAAGATAACCCTCCTTTGTAGGCCCTGTGGGTCAGCTTCTCCCTGCTGGCTGCCAAGAGTGAAATTTACAGCCCTCTGGCCTTCTAATGCCCAGGGGAAGTAATTTACCAGCAAGCACAGGGGTCAGCAATCATCCCCCATGTGTTGGCTGTAGGCATGGTGGTAGACCAGTTGGCTGGGCCGGCCTCCCAGGACATTGCCCTTTGGCACCAAATATTGTACGTCATGAGCCCCGCATCTGCCCTGAGGAATCGGTCCGGGGAGGGGAAAATCTGAATGGCAACCCGCCTGGTTGTTACCGGTCCAAAGTTCATGTGCCTCAAAAGGCCCAAACTCAAAATGGGTTCGAGTTTGGAGTTCAGGAAAGGCGCCAGCTGAGAACAGGGGAGCCTGAGTGGTTCCTGGAGTCTATCTCACCCAAGCACAGAGTTCAGGTTGCCTTTATGTCCAGAAAAGGGGAAATGGGAGGGGCTGTCTTTGCAGAACTCAAACCTCAGGCAGAATTCCTCCAAGGATAGCATGTCTACATGCAAGACTGAGCAGAAAGTGTTAGCCAGCAGGGTGTGGGAGCAAGGCGGGCTGGAACAAGATGGAGTCCGAGAGACACTGAGCGTTTCCCTCCGTTACGTGGTCAGGACTCAGTCACTCAGAGCCTTCACTGCCTCAGCGAGGCCCTGTGAGACGCGAACAATCAGGAATGTTGTGCTCAGGTTGTATTTCAGAAGAATATTCTGGCAGCTGAGGGGGTTGGACTGAAGGGTGGCCAGGGAGGAGGCAGGGAGATTGGATATTGCAGTGCTGCTTGGCCTCACCCATCCACCCTTATCCTGCCCTGTCCCCTCTTCCCCTTCAGCCCGTGATTAGAGAGGTGCCTGGTGGAAAGCGGCAGACCCCTGATAGGGGTGCGGGACAGGCTCCTTCCAGCCTGAAGCGGGGGGTAGGGCTTCCTTAACTGGGGAGCATGGGGGACCAGGGAGGCCAAGCTATTCTCAAAATTTCCAGTGGCTGATCCTCTTGCCAAGTGACTTTCTTGGGCTCAGGCCAGAGTCTTCTCCCCTCCCCTCCTCTTCCCTCCTCTCCCCTCCCCTCTCCTCCCCCACAAATATATATTTTTGTTGATTTCAGAGAGGAAGGGAGAGGGAGAGAAACATCAATGATGAGAGAGACTCATTGATCGGCTGCCCCCTGCACACACTCCACTGAGGATCCAGCCCTCAACCTGGGCCTGGGCCCTGATGGGGATTCGAACTGTGACCTCCTGGTTCACAGGTCGAGGCTCAACCACTGAGCCGTGCCAGCCGGGCGGGGCAGAGTCTTCTTAACCCAGGCGGGCATTACAGCCATGGGCCTGAGGAGCTCCAGGGTCACAGTGGGGAAGGCCCAGGGCCCTGCAAGCCTTACGTGAACCTACAGGGCTTCTGCTCTCTGGGAGGGATGAACCGGAGTGTGAGGAATGCGGGTGAGGCCTCTGCACAGAGCAGATCCAGGCGCCCCAGCCTACCCCCTGGCACGGCGCACCCCCTTTCTCTCCTCCCTAGTGTTCTCAGCGGCTCAGACTCCCTTCCTCTCTCAGCCTCCTCCCTGGGTCCGGGTCAGGGCTGGGGCGCCCTTCCCGTCTGTTTCCCATTATCATCCCCGCTGTCCATCGGACAAAGGAAGACGCTGAGGTCCAGGGAAGGGGGGCGACCTGGCCTCAAACCCCAGCTCAGACCCCCGAGGGAGAAGGTGGGAGGTGCGGGCGCCGCTGATTGGCCCGCAGTTACCCGAGCCACCCAATAGGCGAGGAGGGCGCGGCGGGCTCGGCCCGGGGTTGCGCGCGGGCTCCCGTGGGTCCGGCGGTTGCAGCCGACGGTTCGCGTCCCGGCCCGGTTCCGCGGGTCCGCCTCCCTCTCGTTGGTCGGCCTGCCGCCGTCTTCATGGGCCTGGAGCTGTACCTGGACCTGCTGTCCCAGCCCTGCCGCGCCGTCTACATCTTCGCCAAGAAGAACGGCATCCCCTTCGAGCTGCGCACCGTGGAGGTGCTCAAAGGTGGGCGGGGCGCGCAGGCTGCGGGCGGGTGCGGACGGACCGGCAGACAGACTCCAGCGCAGACATGTCGCACCGGTTATCAATTGTGTATTTTTAAAAACACATTTTTTAAATTGATTTCAGAGAGGAAGGGAGAGGAGGGAGAGAGAGAAACATCAATGAGGAGAGAGAATCATGGATCGGCTGCCCGCTGCACGCCCCGCACTGGGGATCGAGCCTGCAACCCGGGCCTGTGCCCTGACCAGGAATCAAAACCTGACCTCATGGTTCACAGCCGGATGCTCCACCCCTGAGCCACGTAGGCCCAGCATCAGTTGTGTATTTTTAAAGAGCCTCGACCTTTGTCTAGCGAAAACGAAATATTCTTTAAAATATAGGTTAAGAGGGAGCGAGGCAGGTAGAGATCATAGGGTTTGGGGTCGGGGTGGGGAAGTGGAGTGAGTGCCCCTGGACCTCCACACTCCGAGGAGAAGACAACTGCTTCCTCCTTTACTCCACACCTCCGAGTTTCTGCATCTGCTGGGAGGAGAGGGTGGTTCTACCCCACCTGTTCTCTTCTTTGCTCCTCCCCACCCCTGCGGGTCTCCCCTCCACATTTACAGAATCCGGTGGAGGGGGCGGGACTGGACCGGGACAATAGGGCAAGCTCTAGATCCAGAGCCCCCTGGGCAGGCCCCGAGTGAGGCCCCTACTGGGCTGAGCCTGCCCACCTTCCGTCTTTGGTGCCCCCGGCCTGCTACACTGCCACCCTGCTCTGCCTTTGCAGCCCTTCCCCGGACTGGGCACACAGGCGGTGCTGGAGGGAGCCTGGGTCGGAGTGGTCCTGTCCGCTCAGGAGAAGGGCACAGGGGCCCCGATTCCACGCCCCTGTACTGCTGTAGCTTCAGCACTGGCAGGGTCTGGGGGAGCGGGGGTGGGGGGCATGCAGCATCAAGTCAGGCCTGGGAACCCCCACTGGGGAGGGAGCCTTGGGCGTCTGGCACAGGAATGGAAGAGCTGAGCTGCGGGAGGCTGGGTGACGGGGTCAGGGGCCCTGGTGAGACCAGGGACCGGCTGAGAGCTGGAAACAGGTACAGCCCCGCTCGGGGCTCTGCACAGTTCACGCGGCCTGCATAGGCAGGGGCATCGCGGGGGGCAGGCCGCAGTGCCTGACGTGGATGGAATCGGCTGGCTACAGGGATGTGCGTCATCTTCCTCGCGGGGCCCAGGTGCCAGGAGGTGACACAGGAGTGGTGGTGGCCCTCTGGGAGGGTCAGGGGACAGTAGGGTGGCCTCCTCTTCCCGGGTGCCCCGCCTGGACAGGGGCCTCAGAAAGATCCTGGATGGTCCGGCCGTTGTGGCTCAGTGGTTGAGCATCGACCTATGAACCAGGAGGTCACTGTTCAATTCCTGGTCGAGGCACATGCCGGGGTTGCGGGCTCCATCCCCAGTTGGGGGTGCGCAGGAGGCATCTGGTCGATGATTCTCTCTCATCATTGATGTTTCTCTCTCCCTCTCCCTTCCTCTCTGAAATTAATAAAAAAATTTTTTTTTAAAAAAAAGAAAGATTCTGGCTGCTGGGTGGGCGTGGCCAGAGACCTCGGAGCGTTCAGGCTTCCCCCCTTGCCTCACTGCTCTCTCCCGTAGGTCAGCACAACAGCGATGACTTTGCCCAGGTGAACCCCCTGAGGAAGGTGCCAGCCTTGAAGGATGGGGACTTCACCCTGGCCGAGAGGTAATGGCCCCTGAACTGCTGCATGGCCTTTTGGGGGTGGGGGGCTGGTCCCCTGTGTGCCCACTGCCCATAGCTTGGGACATGGTTTATGTTCTGTGAGTAGCTGTGCCCGCCCAGGCTTGAAGTGGGCAGAGATGCCAGGGCTGGGAGGGGCACCTGGCATTGCTCCTGTTGTGTCCATGCTTTGACTAAGCTGGGGAGTGGTACTGGGTGCTGGGTGCTGGGTGAGTGGCTCTCACCCTCAGGGCCCATCTGGGTGCCCCCTTATTTGAGGAAGCTTTCTCTGAGCACACACCCCCGTTCTGAAATCCCGTAACGTTTTTGTTTTTTTACTTTGTGCTCTTAGTGCAGATGATAGGATAGCTCAGCGTAGCGCTGTGTGACCTTGGGGAAATCCCTTAACCTCTCGGAGCCCCACATTCCCACTCTGCACCTGGAGATGGTGAAATGCGTCGCCCACATGGGGACACACATGCCAGGAGCCGAGGCCTATCCTACCCAGGGCCTGGCTCCTGGAGAGTAGCTGAGAAGTGACTGGGACCTCTCCCCGCCCCTGCTGTCCCTCCCAGTGTGGCCATCCTGCTGTATCTTAGCCGGAAGTATGAGGCCCCTGACCACTGGTACCCCCAGGACCTGGAAGCCTGCGCCCGTGTGGACGAGTACTTGGCATGGCAGCACACGGCTCTGCGGAGCAGCTGCTCCCTCGTCATGTGGCATAAGGTGAGCCTGGGGGCAGGGACCTGCCTGGATCCTCAGGGGATGGCGCCTTCTGTTTAAAACATTCTATTCAGCTCGGCCGGCGTGGCTCAGCGGTTAAGAGTTGACCTATGAACCAGGAGGTCAGGGTTCGATCCCCGGTCAGGGCGCATGCCTGGGTTTTGGGCTCGATCCCCAGTGTGGGGTGTGCAGGAGGCAGCTGATGATTCTCATCATTGATATTTCTATCCTTCTCCCTCTCCCCTCCTCTCTGAAATCAGTAAAGATATCATTAATAAAAAGAGTCCTCCTTGAGCTGCTAGGGGCTGGCGAGGAGCCCACTCAAGCTGGAGCGGGCAGGAGCCTCTCCGTGCAGAACAGAGAGAAGTCAAGTAGAGCGAGTGTAGACGTTTGCTCCCCAAAAGGCTGGTCCACAGACCAGGAGCATCAGCGGCCCCTGGAAACTCATGGACATGCCGAGTCTCAGGCCCCAGCCAAGCACACAACTCGGGAATGGGCTCTGGAACCATATTCCAGAGCGAGTCCCAGGCGCATGCCCCTGTGAGAAGTCTGGGTGGGGTAGGAGGTGGAGGGTGGGGGAGCCGGTGGCAGCTGCACCAGTGGGGCTGGTGGTGAGGCCTTTGTGGGCGGACAGTGGGAGCCCCGGGAGGCTTGCTGCAGTGAGAAGGGGCAGGCAACCTGACATTGCAGAGGGCCCCCCAGCAGCTCTGTGAGCCTCTAGGGAGGGTGGAGGCTGGCCCTGTGTGAGGGGGAGATGAGGCCTGGGCCGGTGGTGGTGGCTGTGGGTGGAAAGGGACGGGCGGGAGCAAGGAGAAGCTAGGCTGGGCTTTGGGCGGAACCTCAGCCCGCTCCTGCCTGCCCCCCACCAGATGATGCTCCCTGTGTTCCTTGGTGAACGGGTGCCCCCCGAGACATTGGCATCTACTCTGGCCGAGCTGGACAGGTGCGTGCAGCTGCTTGAGGTCAAGTTCCTGAAGGACGACTTCCTCGCGGGGCCCTGCATCTCGGTGGCCGACTTGGTGGCCATCACAGAGCTAATGCACGTGAGTGCCCGGGGGGGCGTGGCCCATGGGGCGTGGGGTGCCCGGGAGGGAGCCAGTGTACCAGCTCACGCTGCCCTTCCTGGCTGCGGACCCAGGGCATGTTACTTCCTCCTGTGTCTCAGTGTCCTCATCTGTAAAATGGGACTTTAAAACCCCGCCCTGCAGGGATATCCAGGCCTCTCTCAGTGTCTCCTGGGAGGGGTCCCCCAGCCTTTCACACAGGGGGCAGAGGAACAAAGTCCACCTGGTGGGTCCCTAAACCGGGTCAGCCGCCTGACAGCTCCCTCTCTCTTCAGCCTGTCAGCGCCGGCTACCACGTCTTCAAAACCCGCCCCAAGCTGGCGGCCTGGCGCCAGCGCGTGGAGGTGGCGGTCGGGGAGGACCTCTTCCAGGAGGCCCACGAGGTGGTCATGAAGGCCAAGGACCTGCCGCCAGTGGACACTGACATGAAGGACAAGCTGAAGCCCGTGGTGCAGATTTTGTTGTAGTGAGGAGGGGCGGGCCTGCAGCCAATGTGGAGACCGGTGTCCAAATAAAGAGATGGAGCTGCCCCTCTCCTTGGCCTTAAGCAAGGCACCCGCACAGTCTCCGTCCTTGAGATCCCTCCAGCATCAGGCCCACACTCCTCCTCTTGTCTGTCTGTTTACTCCACTCTTGCCCCTTCCACTCCAACTGGCAGGAGACCTCTGGAATGAGCTTTATTTATTATTTTTAAAATATATATTTTTACTGATTGCAGAGAGGAAGGGAGAGGGAGAGAAACATCCATGATGAGAGAGAATCATGGATCGGCTGCCTCCTGCACGTCCCCCCACTGGGGATCGAGCCGGCAACCTGTGCCTGTGCCCTGACTGGCGATCAAACCCTGACCTCCTGGTTCGTAAATCGACGCTCAACCACGGAGCCACATCAGCCAGGTTCACTTATATTTTCATCTACAATTCAAACAGCTTCGGAACACTGATGACAGTATCATGGTCAGTCACACCGACAGATTTCCGTGTTTTAAATAACACGCTTTGTTTTGCCTATAAAAACATGAGGTGCCGTAGCCCTGGCCAGTGTAGCTCAGTTGGTTGGAGCTTTGTCCTGGGTTCCATTCCCGGTCAGGGCACATGCCCAGATTGTGGGTCCCATTTCTGGTCAGGTGCGTGCGGGAGGCAACTGATGTCTCCCTCTCACACTGATATTTCTCTCTAAAAAAGCATGTAGTCGGGTGAGAATTAAGAAGAATAAGGTACCATAAACGTTGCTGGTAATTCTCCTGCAACCTGGCTCCCATCCCCTGCTGGACACACTACAGATGTCCGGGCCGGGCAGGTATTCCCTGAACCTGAGCCTCCTTGCCCAGCCCCACGTGTCACCCACGGGTGTCACCAGGTCTCCTGATCAAGAGCAGCGCAGATTCTCACACCAAACGGGAAGTTGCCTAACTTTGAAGCGGTGGCAATGCATTAAAAAAATTTCAAATTCTCTATGAGGAAGTAACGTCACCAGGGTTGATCCTGGGGAAGGCCCCTACAGGTGTGTGTGTGTGTGGGGGGGGGCGGGGTGGTTGGAGGGTGTTCAGCCCTCCATCTACTACTAAATGGAGAGAGAGCAGAACCGCAGCTCTGGAAAACCACCGGAAGCGGAGAGGAGGCCAGTGTGGCTGGGGCGGAGGGCGGGGCCATGGTTCTGCCAATGACAGAATGGGGTGACACCGGGGGGCGGGCCGGACAATAGGACCTCCCAGCCCAGCCTGCTTGGCTCAGTGGATGACCCTCCACCTGGCACCCGGAGGTCACGGTTGGACTCGGGGTGGGGGCACATGCCCGGGTTGTGGGCTCCATCCCCAGTGCGGGGCGTGCAGGAGGCAGCCGATCCATGATTCTCATCATTGATGTTTCTCTCTCCCTTCCTCTCTGAAATCAAGAGGACAAATATATTTTTAAAAAATATTTTTAAAAAAAGGACTTCCGGAGATCTGGGTCAGAGTCCACCAAGGTTTTCTGCTGAGGCGGGAGGTGCAGCCTAGCAGCCAATC